GCCCTTTTCTCTTGTTTTTCTTCCTTCCACCCAACTATTATTAAGAAAAGACTAATTTTATAAATTCTGCACATTTACTATCAGTAATAACCACTTTTTATTAAAGTAATGAGTTAGCATGGTTTCAATTTTTTGCTATATCTTTTTAAATGAAGTACATTAATCATGTTTCAATGAAGGAAGGTCATCTGATTAACATATCTTTGATAAATACTTTGATAGTCAATTCTGATTTAAAAAAAACAATCCACAACAAAAACACATCAACCACACCTCGAATGGTATAGGTTTTTTAATGGCTGGAAAATCAGTCGTGAAACTGAAATTTTACCTGAAATAATTGTTTTGTTTCAGAATGTAGATGTAAATCAATTCTGTAGTGGAATAAATTGTTTTGTTTTCTGTTAATGCATGTTTTAGAATCATCTCCAAGCAGAATTTGCTTGGGAATCAGATAAATGCTTCAGTTCTGTGAAGTAGACTCCCTTGTTTGTGTGGAACATAGACCTGGAGGCAGTCTGCAGGATCATGTAGTCTATTTGCCTTCTCAGAAAGCAGAAGTATGATAAGCTGATGTTTGAAAACATATGGTGCTGTGAGCCATGTTAACATTAGCAGGTCTGAATCTTTTTATTTTTTTCTAGTGATTAAATGTTTCAGCTAAGAGTGATTAAATGCTTCTGCTAAGAATGCCAGAAGCCCTAAATATGGTGCATAAAACAAGAGGGTGTGCTTGAGAAAACAATATCTTCTGAAACTATATATTGAAATAACTGTTTTGTGCTAGTGTTGTTGAAATCTTATCAAAGGCAGGATTAGGCAAAGCAAAATGTTTTATATTTTTGTTTCTTTGGAAGAATGTAATTTATTTTTCATTATTATTTTTAGAATTGCTACAGAGAAGCTTCGTGAGATGGATGATGCTTTTAGAAAACAACTTGAGTCAGTATTGGCAGCTCATGAGGCAGAAATAGTGCAGCTGGCAAATGAGAAGGAAAAACAAATTGAAGCAGCAAATGAAAAAGTAATTTTGATACCAATTAATATGTTTATTTTATTTGCATCTTTATTCTCCAGCTACTCCAGCAGCGATGCTTAAAATCACTGATTTCTGTCAGTCTGTCTAATTACTTGATGGAAACAGCCCTAGTATAGTACTCCATCTTTACACAGTAAGAAAATAACTAGAACTGTACTATCGTCAGGTTCTTGGAGTGAAGCAAATGAAGTTGCACGTGATGCAACTGTTACTAGTTGTCACCTTCCCATTATTCTTGCTGGTGTAGATAAGAAATGGTTATACCAGACATTCCATTTAACTCGCATATTTCTGTGTTAGCAGTTGATGTTCTTGCCACGTGTTGCATTCTATCTTGCTGTGACAAAGCGTTTTTTTCTATGTAGTAGATATTAATGTAAAAACTAGAATAGCAGTCTCCTACTAATTCTTTTTTTTTCTTTTTTAATTAAAATTCTGCTACCGCAGAATTTTCTGTTCGCTGGCAAAATTGTGATATTTATTTAAATATCTGATACCTTCTAACATGGACTTTGTTTTTTCTGATTTAGAAGTTGTTTGTCCTGTCATGTCTATTTGTGGCAGTTTTGTCTAGCTCCTTGGGAAAGTTTTTTTTACTTTGGATTATCACTACAGTCAAAAAATCTTTTCCATAATATAAAGTTTAAAACATAAATCTGTACTGATTTGAACATGCAACTCCTATATCTGTTATCAGAGTTAAAAATTGGCAACAGTATATGTTTGTTGGCAGTATTAAGGAAAAGTTAGATCTGTACTTGTTTATTTGATCTGATTATTTGATCTGTTTATGCTTTCAGGTGTACTACGTTGAAGAAGAAATGCGTCAGCTTCTGCAAGAGACGGCAAGCAATAAAAAAGCCATGGAAGATAAAATAAAACGGATTACGTATGTGTTGAGTGACATTCAGAAAGATCTGTGAAGCTTTGTGTCTTACATTTCAGAGTTCTTTACAAATGTATACACTAAAAAGAATATTAATTTAAACAAATATGCTACAGTGCACTTCTTATTTGATTTGAAGTGCTTCTAGAGAATAAATTTTGTGTAGAATTTTGAGGGCTTGGAAATCAGTCTTGTAGAGTATTTTTATAATAAATACTTATTTCTAGCCCTTGGTTATTTTTGACTGTTCTATCTGTTTTGACTGTTCTAAAGTTGGATTAAAAACAAATTTATTGATTTGAAAGCATTGCATAATTTGAAACATGAATGTTTGAGTAAGAGAGAAGAATGTAAAAGCAAAGGATGTTTTCTAAGTGTGAGAATACAAAAATGCGTGAAGACAAACTTAAAGGTTTCCTGTGTTGTGATACAAATTCTTGTAATGAGCAGTCAAAGAACTTTACTTGAAAATGTTTGTAATCTGCACTTGCTGCAGCAAATGGCTTCTCACCAGGCTGCTGAAAAATAGAAGATAATAAGCCTTAAGTTAGAACAATCATAATAATATATATATGATAGAAATTTCATCTCCACTCTACTGATGCATTTATTTCATTTGTTTATTCTCATTCTACTGAATCATAATCTAAAGTGCTTAATACTGTGGTAGTAATTATAATCGTGTTCTTTCTTAGTACACCAGATGGAGCTATTTCGTCCCATCTTGCAACTCATACCAGCTAAAGCAGACTCCCATAGCACAAATGACAACAGACTCAACTAACCTGACTTTAGCATCACTTTGTTCTGCATCCCAAAATGAGTTCTCTAATATGGAATAGCAGTATAGGTAATTTTGTATAAGTAGAAGTGCTAATAGAAGGCCATAGGGCTTTCACCTAACTGTGCAGGTCCTGTTGGGCTTGTTACCAACTTGTTATGAGAACTTGTGTGAACCATAAGCTAACACGAGCTGCTTCTTGTTATGAGGTGCAGCTTTAGCATGGAATGGAGGCAAAAGCCTTGGAAATATGGGCACAAGCTGAAAGCAGAGGCTGCAGCACCAGCAGTGTGCTAAGTGCTCTGGAAACACTGAGAACTGGGAAGACACTTTTTTTCCATTACAAAGTTAAGCTGCAGCAAAGAAAAAAATGGAAGGGCTGGGAAGTGTTTTGAAATTGTACTGTCTTATAAATTAGGAAGATCCTGTGTGTGTGGGATGGGACAGAAAAGACCTGCTTCAGTTCTTGTTCCCTGCATCCAGCACTGGCACAAGGGAGGGGCAGAGCCATCAGAGCCAGCCACAGGGCATCCCCTCTGGTACTGTACTCTCCCAACTAATGTATGTGTGTATTGATAGACTTGTTAAGGACTGACTGCTTTGAAGCAGTTTGATGATATTTAAAAACGAATATATACTGGTAACAATTAGTAAGGTGCTTAACTCTTAGCACATGTCTGTCAGTCTAGTAAATTTTGTTGTAAAATTTGGTTGATTTATCAGTCTGACACTATCACAGCAACCTTCTTGATTGCCTGACAGAAATATCTCAGCACCACCAATGTGCAGATGAAAATATCCTCTCAAGGTGACCTTGTGCTCTGCACACTTCTTTCTTCAGAGGCTACATAATAATCTGGAAAACCGATCTCTAACATCTACATGAATGTCACACCGAAAGGTTGTGCTTTCTGCAGCAATTCAGAATGCTTTTCTGTTGTGTTTACCAAGTGTTTCTTTAGGCACTTTTCAAATACTTTGTCCAAGCCACATTCTGATGTTGTGACCTAATACTTGGAATGCACTGGCGAGGTAGCACACCTTCCTTGTAACCACATTCCATTTATTAATGCCAGCCCAGGTTTTCCTCCAAGTTTTCATTCTGAAATCATTTCCTGATTTTCTAATAGGGAGCTGTTACTGTTTTTTTACTATGGGTTCTTATTGTTCCTTGCTCTTGGCTTGGAAATCTCATACCATGGCACCCGGGCACATACCTGCGGTAGCTTTATTTGTATTGTTTCCTTTTCACGTGCCTGATTCTAGCTCTGGCATTATTTCCTTCTTTCTGCCTGCACAGATTTCTTACAGTTTTTTTAAAGTTAATTCATATGGTTGGAATAGGCCTCAAAATGATAAATTGATACAAGTGTGGTGCAGATCACAACAGTGCCAAATGGAAAAAATTCAGTCTGAGATTACTAAAGAGCATAAAATAACTGAATAAATAAGAATCTAATTGAAATGTGAACTCTGGACATTGTCATCTGTATAACGTGTTTTCAGGCATTAATCACAACCATTTAAAACTGCTCTTTATGTTGTTAGATTTTCTTCAGTTTGGTTCCCAGACAAAATAACAGATTTTTTTAAATCAGCATCAAAATGTGCAAGTGGGAAGGAAATTCTGGTGCTGAGAGCAGGAGGGATGCAAGACAAGGGCCAGAGACTGCACACTTGCTCATCGAGGAGGACCTTTTATTTTATTGCGTTGGCCCACAACATCAGAGGTAGATGTTGCTGACATGGCAGAAGAGGTTGAACCTTCCCGCCAATATTGTGTTATGTTCTGTTGCCGTGTGGCAGATGGCAGCAGAGGGGTACTCTGACACAATGTTGTCAGACATGGAAGTGCAGATGAAGCAAAGGTGTGTCATTGAATTCCTCTGCACAGAAAAAAAATGGCGCCCATTGACATTTGTTGATGTTTGCTGAATGCTGCTGGAGACCGAACAGGGGCTGTGAGCACAGTGAGGCTGTGGATGCTGGATTTCAGCAGTGGTGACAGCAACGGTGTGTCTCTCTTTACTGTGAGAGTGGTGAGGTGCTGGAAAGGCTGCCCAGAGAGGTTGTGGATGCCCCATTCCTGGAGGTGTTCAAGGCCAGGTTGGATGGGGCCCTGGGCAGCCTGGTCTAGTATTAAATGTGGAGGTTAGTGACCCTGCATGTGGCAGGGGGGTTGGAGATTCATGATCCTCGAGGTCCCTTCCAACCCTGGCCATTCTATGATTCTGCAATTCAGTGTGCAGGCTGTAACAAGTGAGGCGCGCAGGCTCTTATTCATCACTGGCAAAAATGCACAGCTAATGGTGGTTACTGTGTTGAAAAACAGAGTTTAATATCTGAGGCTTTGCTCTACCAAGTAGCGTTATCATGCTCTTCATCTGTTGTAGTTTCTACGGAAATAAATAGGAAGCATTACCTACAGGGTAATCTATGTGTATATACATAATTTCTCCATGACCGTGCTGTTGCCTAAGAGGTCCCGGCTCCCGGCCGTGGCCTTGTCAGTGTGCTGCTCCTTCATGACATGCTCCATTGCCTGGTGCAGGCAGGGGCAGCTGCAGTTCTTCTATATCAGCGAGTGGCACGACGCCCGCGCCCCGCACTGTCCGTGCTGCACATGGCAGCGCCGTCCCAGCTCAGCGTGCGCACAGGGCTGAGGTGGGGTCCGAGAGCCGTGCGGAGCCTCGGGCAGCCTCTGGCGGCGTGACCGTGCACCGCTCGCAAACGGACTTGAGCCAAATTTCTGATGTGGTTTAAATAACCGGATTCTTATTAAAGACAAAGTTACCAGAGCCTAATTTATATGTCGCCCAACTGCTCTCGTGTTCAACAGGCTCCGCACCGCCGTAACCGCGCCGTTCCCGTGCGGCCCCCCCCCAGCCCCGTGCCGGTGTCCAGGCAACGGCGGCGGCGTCACTTCCTGCGGTACCGCCCCTCCCGCCGCGGCCCTCGGGCCGGCTCCGTTCCGAGCTCTGGCTGTTGCGGCGGTCGCGACACGTGGCGCGGCGGGGCGGCCCCGCTGGCGCCGGTCCGGCGGGCAGCATGGCCGCGGCGGCCGAAGCGGCGGGAGGCGGAGGCAGCAGCCGGCACGAGAAGAGCCTGGGGCTGCTCACCACCAAGTTCGTGTCGCTGCTGCAGGAGGCCAAGGACGGCGTGCTGGACCTCAAAGTGGTGCGAGGGCGGGGCGGCGCGGGACCGCCATGGCCGCGGCTGAGGGGAGGCCGGGGCGGCGCGCAGAGCCCCGCGGCGCTGCCGGGAGCGGCAGGGGGGCGCCGGGCGGCTGTCAGGCTGCGGCCGTGTCCGGGGGCCGGGTCACCTGTCGGGTGCGAAGGGAGGCTGGAGCCGAGGTCCCGTGCAGCCTGACTGGCTTCGGTCGTTTGTTTTCACTTCGCGGTTGCTCTGTTTACTGACTCCGCGAACTGACGCCTATTTAAGGCTGTTTTCGGCCCGTTCCACGCGGGGTGCGAGGTAACGCGGCTCCCTGCGGCGTTGGCGCCGTGCGGCACTGCGACCTCCGCCCGAGCGCGGGATGATGAAGAAGGAGGTGGCATGAGAGCGGTGTTGGCCGGGCTGAGGATAAGCAGCCCGCTGCCTTGGTTACTCGAGTCCTTTCAGGACAGCTGACCGCGTTCCTTGGCTCGGTTAGCGGGCTCTCGGAGAGGAGGTGCCCCGGATACTTTTCGTGCATTGCTGTTCAGAGAGAGCTCTTTAATAATGTTACAGCGGAAAGTGAAACTTGTCAGTGAGCTGGGAGGGGTCCCGGAGGCGGTACGTTCCAGCTGGGCACTCAGGTGGGCGTACGTGGAACAGCGGGGTTGGGCAGCACGGCGGGATGGGTCGGTCGGGTGTTTGCCGTTCACCTCTGTGTGGAAGGAGTTCTTCGCCCACCAAGGGGAAAAGGCAGCACGTGTGGTCAGGGGAAGGTAAGCAGGCACTGCAGAAATGACAAAGACGTCTGCTCGGGGCTTCTATTGGAAACTGGTTTCTGAATGAGTGGACACGGTTTGTTTTAAGTAAGCACTAACCGAAGAGAACAAAACGTTGGGACTTTCGTTAAGTAATTAGTCAAAATGTACATTTTTTTGTAATCTGGCGTTTCTCATAAGTGAGATGTGCGTAGGGAAAAGTGAAAAGCAGCATGCATACCCTGCTGGTGTGCTCAGGGAAATGAGGGACAGGGTGCCCCTGGAGTGAAACAGTGTTTTCCAAAAGATGGTTCATTCATCGAAGATTTTTTCTGTCGTATTTATGCATGTTGACCACCTGAGCAATATTTCTGTACCAAACTAAGTACATCATGAAGAAAACAGGTTTTGGAAACTCCAAGTGTACTTTGTCATTTATCAGTGGAGGAAGAACATTTCCTGGTGATCTCTGGGTACCTCTGTAGCTGGCCGTCTGTGAAACAGCCCCAGGGATCACAGGTGCTGACCCTGTGCAGGTTGCTGCTCCTTACTCCAAGTGCAGGAAGCCCCAGCAGTTGTGTGTGTTGAACTTCAGAAGTGTTTTAGCACTGACCGCTTTTCTGCTAATGCCTGGCAAATTATGGGCGTGAGGATTGTCTTGAGGTTAAATCCTACAGGGCTCATTTTAAAATCAAGCAGATCTTCCAGAATAATTGCATAGCTGTCCCTGAATAACCCTGTGTAAGTAAATGTTGCTAAGGAAGTAAGCTTAAAATGTCAAGGGATGAGTTGGAAGGGAAAGAAAGCAAGCTCCTCTGTTCAGAAATCCACCATTTGCAGGGAATGGATAAATACAGAAAGGTCACAGTAAGTGAATAAAGGCTAAGCCACCTGAAGTGACACCCAGAACAGTGTGTTCCTTCTGTTCAGCAGTGTACTCTGGTTTCCACCATGATTCCAAGTAGGCTTGGCTTGTAGCAAAATGACATCCCTGCCATACTCAGGGCTAAATGGTATTTCTGATCAACAGTGCAAAGTACTGAGTACCCTGAAATTTGTTTGCTTGCTGCTGAAGTTCATTCCACGGCAAGAGACAGAAAGCACTGCAAATGTGAGGACAGGAAGGGACTTGGGATTTGCAGCTATGATGGAGATTTTTCTTTTTTTTCTCTGGAAAGTCCTAATCAGTGGAGTCCTAAAACCTAAACAACCAGAACAAACAAACAGTACCACCAAAGACAAAATTTCCAACTGAAAAATTGTGTTATATAAGAACTTAGCCTCTGATCTCTGAAGTGCCTATCTGATGGGAAATCAAAAAGAAGATGGGGAAGAGATTGCACTGCTAAATTGTGCTGTTTCTATACCACAAAGAAGGTTCCTGATGAACACTGCCATCCCCTTGCATGAAGTTTCTTTAAAGGGAAATGTCTCTGATATGATCTAAACCTTTGTCCTTGTCCCTGGTTGAATCAGGACCTGGGGGAAAAAAAAAAAAAAAAAGTGCAGAAAGCAAAGTATTCATCAGGTGCCCAGGAAGTGCACATCTAGGAAGGCTTCACATCAGGTACAAAAGAATCATCATGGACAGAATTACAAACGATCAAGCAGCTTGTTTCCTCTGACTTACATTGTGCTCTGCTGTCAGTGACATGTTGTGACAGCACATACAAACACACCATAGCTGGTCTGGGTCAGAAAGGGAAGTGGTGGTGGCTGCCAGAGTTGGCTGGTGTTCTGGCAGCTCTGAATGCTATTGAGGCTGTTTCCTTGTGTCCTACCACTCGTCAGATGGCAAAATGGCTTACAGGATGATGTTGGGTTACAGTCTTGCAGCTCTCCTTCTGTTAGCCACTTTGAGAAATTACCCCATCCTCCCATATCCCAGCAGTTAGGGGATAACAAATTCAACATGCTGTTGGCCTCAGATGCTTGTTTTGTTGCAGTGCTGCCATCTTCCCTTCTATTTCATGCCTTGTAGAAGGAATGCTGTTGGGTGGTGCAGATACCAATGGCAGCGCTGGCAGTTCACGTGAGCACTCCTCCCTGGTGAAGGTGGGCTTGCTGGCCTTGCCTCATGTGACTTCCCTCACCATCAGGAGGCCACACTTGCATGTCACTTGAAGCAGATGCTAAACTTCTGAATTTATCAATGAGGATCCTATTCTTGAAGGAAGAATTGTTTCTGAAAGGCAACAGTTCAAGTCAATTATTATTTGGCATTCTTTTCAGGGGAATGGGTTAGAATGTCTGTTGTTTGGCCCAAGTTGCTGATATTGCTGATACGCTCTCATCTCCACAGGCTGCTGATGCCCTTGCCGTAAGGCAGAAGAGAAGGATCTATGATATCACCAACGTTTTAGAAGGGATTGATCTCATTGAGAAGAAGTCAAAAAACAGCATTCAGTGGAAGTAAGCTTTGTCAATTCTTCATTTCTTACAGTGCTTGAGAGCAATACGAACTCCCTCCATCAATTTCTCCTGACTAGTTAACATAGGATGAAGTTAATGTTACTCTCAGAAATGAGCAATGCAACATTTCAGAATGACATCCAAGTTACAAATGAACTTCCTTTGTCTTTCCTTTAATTTGCACCCTTGATACATAGAATCAAGTTTAAAAGCTATAGAAGAGATACTTTCAGAAAACTTGAATTGCTACTTTCTACCTATCACTCACACTCTCTGAATCTGGGAGAGGTGTTGGGGAACAGTATTTCCACCTACCCATCCCTCTTAATTATTTTCTCTGGTCACTGAATTTGAAAGCGTAACTGAAGTGTTAAGAGAGAAGGAGGGGGAAAGAGCTGTGAACCATCCCTAATATGGAAAAGCTACATTCCAAAAGAATATAAGGTTAGGTAGAGGAAAATCTAAATCTGATCTAATTTTTAAAATGCTCATTTTTCCCATAAAACGCTGCTGGGAGAGTAAATTTCCTTCATAATGAAATTTAGAAGGTTTTTCAAATTATTGAGAGCATACTTAGGAAGTGTTCTTTTAGATTTTCACTTTTTGTGGTTTCATGAATCTTTATACTTTTTTTTTTTTTTTAAGAGGAGTAGGTGCTGGCTGCAATACAAAAGAAGTTGTGGACAGGCTGCGGTATCTTGAAGCTGAAATTGAAGATCTAGAGCTAAAAGAAAAAGAATTGGATCAGCAGAAACTGTGGCTACAGCAAAGCATCAAGAATGTTATGGATGATTCTACAAACCACCAATATCCTTTTCAAGAAATGGTGTGCATCTTGGAACAAGAATTAAAACAGCAATTAAAGCATAGGTAAAGGGTAAAACATGATGTAATCCATTTCATCCAGAAGCAAAGGCTGAGGAATACTATTATTTTTTTCCTCTCTTCAGGTTTTGGTTCAGTAAGACTATAAATGATGTTTGCATGTATTTTTAAGCTCTGTGGTTGTACAAATGGTAACCTGAAAATAATCTAGCATATGTATGTATTGCAGTAATTTTTAATTCCACGGTATAATCCTGATATCTGGTTTTAAATTGATCGTACTGCCATTAGGCACTTGGATTTACACCTTCATAGCTGTATTTTACATGAATCTCCCCCCTACCTTCCCCATCTTTTACTTTCCTCTCTTGAAAAGTTAAAGCTATCACCCAAAGATAAATTGAGTTGAGTTGACAAAGGTCTGAAGCTTGTTAGATTCAGAACAGGAAAAATATCCTGTGTGTAAACATTCCATAAGCAGAAAGATCCAGCCATATTGCTTGTAATGTGTTTATCTGTCTTGCAAGATACTGTGCAAAACAGACACATCTGAAATTTAGAGCAGGAAAATGCCCTTCTCATTGATAGGACTGATGATAAGTACTTAACATTACTTGCAATTGCTCTGCAGAAACTGTACCTATAAAATTTTGTAGTAAAGGAGATTTAAGTAAGATACGAAGAGAAATGTGCCATGGGAGAGTTAGCAGTGGAATTAATCCCCCAGGGTAGAGGTTGGAATATCCATCACTGGATGTTTTCCAGAAAAGGAGAGGCAAACAACTGTCTGGAATGTTTTAATAATTGATCCTACCTTGAGGCAGGGGAACGGGTCTGCAGATGAACTCTCAAGTCCCCTCTAGCAGTCTTTTTGTGTGATTTTTGGGACATCTTGATATACTGTTGAATTATATAGTGTGAAGTTAACGAGGTAATTGGTGTTCTTAAAAACAAGATTTTACATGTTTTCTGTTTGAAAAGAATCTCTTCTCATTCAAGCTATTCAGCTCCTCTTTCGGTATTTTCTTCACATATATAGTTAAATTATTCTAACAGTACAGAACTACGTTATTTTTAAAATAGCCATTCTGAACATCATAAATCAATCCTTGATTACACTTTTGAGTAGCAGCAGTAAGCTTAGGCTTAGTTTGGACAAACTTCTTTTTAAGGCATCAAATACCAGTTTCACGTTGCTTTAAGAAAAATGTTCCTTGACATAAATTACATTTTCATATGTCACCCATGAAGATATCTGTAACTGTTTCAATGGTGAGTTGCTCCTACACTGTATCTCATGAAATAAGGGATTTCCTGATCTTCTTGAAACTCAGCTTGCTAACTAACCTGCCTTTCCCTACAAGTATTTTGTGTTTAGAATAATATTCAACAGTGGTCAGAAGTAAACAGATGCATCTTCTACTGTTCATGACCCTCAGGTTCTAGTGTAGTTACAGTCACAGACTGTATGGAATGGAAGTTCAGCTGTTTGAGAGTGCTGGTTTTGGATGTATTTTTCTCTGTTCACACTTTGCAGGAGTTTGCCTCTGACCTTGACAGAACCAGGGACAGGGCTTGCAGGTCTGTCTCATCTGAAGACTAGCCATGTCTAGATTTCTTTAGGTTTTCTGATGACAGCTTGAGTCAGAAGGAATTCCTTGTGATGTTACATGGGGCCAGCTGGAGTTCAAAGATGGGACATTGCTACTAAACAAGAAAGATTCTTTCTGTACAGGAAGTTTGAACAAATTGCCAAGAACTGCTGGCAGAAATTATTTCCCTTGACACCCTTTCTGGATCCCGAGTTACTGAAGGGAGTATTTTTGTTCAGCCTCACCTGAGATGAAAACCAACTCTTTGCCACAAGGAAAGTTGGGATTCATTTTGAACAAAAATGTAACATTAGAGAACTGCTGTTGAGTTTTACAAAACCAGCTGTTGCTCAGAAGAATTAGTTGTTAGAAAATATGTAGGAGGTTTAATATACCAGTCACATTGTACTTAGTGTAAAATATATCTCAAGTGGTAGGGGAAAAAAAGCATCATTCCAAGTTATGGATGAAGGCAAATTGATGTGTCCTGACTTTAATAATTTGAAATGCACATAGCAAGCTACAGGTGAGTGTTATGGTCATCTGTTACATCTGAATTGAATGTGCTGCAGAAGTTCTAAGTTCAGGTATTTGAAAATACTGACATTGAAGACAACAACTGAAATGGTTTTTTGCTTTCCTGTGTCATCTGTCCTCAAAGCAATTAAGTAAGCTGAATGAAAGAGATGCTTTTGCTGAGAAGGAAGCTAGTTAAATATTGGGTTTTGGATCTTACAGGGACTATGTAAATCCCATTGTAAGTGTATTTGTGCTGGAATTATGCAGTATTTTGAGTAGCTTTAGAGAATTATTCTATCCTATTTGAGTGGATATCATGCAAGATGTAAGAAAAATATGCACAGTTAACACTTTCTTAAAAATTGCTATTTAACCAGGAGACACACTTCTAGCAATTCAAGCACCTTGTGGTACACAGTTAGAAGTACCTATACCCGAAATGGTATGTACTGGTTTCTTGTTTACCTGAGTGCTGTAGGGGGACAGTGGAAAAGAAGAGGTATACTATAGCTGAGGATTTATCTCTGGCTGTGATGAGAGAGGCAGGAAAAATATTAAGCTAGTCTTAGTTGAGGATGGAGGTGTTAAGTGGGAAAAAGTGTTGTTAGTTTTTTTTTTCCAGCACACCTAAGTCTATGTATACAAATGAGACAACAATGATAACTCACCTTGTATTGGAAACAAGATACAATAGTTGGTTTCTTTGTCCTCTCTTCTCCCTAAATCTTAAAGTTTACAGCCTTGCAGTTTAGGCATAATTGTCTTGAATTCCCTTGAGAACTTAATAGCAGTAACTTTTATGTGTCAAACTTCAAATGTATTGTATTGCTAAATCACAACTTCTATGAAAATACCTTTTAGATTTATTTGTAGGTGTGGTTAGATGCTGTTCATGTTTAGTCACATAGTAATATACTGAATAGAGAAACACACTGCAGACTTCTTTTTTGTTGAAGGGTTTGTTAGACTGGGCAGGATTAGAGGAGGAAGCCATATTACTTAACTCTGTCAATCTTTAATTTTTTTTTTTTTTTTTAATTGCATTGCTCTGTTTTAAATAGGGTTGATACCTTACATAGTTGGGAGAGAGTGTTGCATGAAGCATGACAGACACAATGCTTTTAGAGTGGTGAAACTCACAGGAGAAGTTTCAGAAGCTATTTTTAATGAGGCTAAGCACAATCTGATATCAGAAGAGCATCCAAAGCTAGGACCATGAAGCTGGTCCAGTGATACTGGGTCTTTGTTCATCCGTGCTGAAAACAGTTCAGGCAATGGTATGGTTCCCTGTGTGGTGAAAGCAGTTGTGATGCAGCTTTTTTGACTTTTTGTTGAGGACAAAAGCAAATGATTTAGTATTCCATCAGCAACTTCAAATGGGATTCGTTTACTTTCGTTCCCTCCCCTCACGCTCCTTTCCCACTTTCCTCATCCTCATTTTTTTTTCTGGAACATACTTGCTGAAAACCTGTTTGATGAATTAGCCTAGCAAAAAGAATGCCTAGAAATCAGCTAAGAAATTGTTTCTACTGACTCACTGATTCTGTGTTCACTTGGTCTGAGTGTGAACTTAATTATTGTGGAATGGCTGGTCCCAAATAAGATGGTTCTGAAGCTCCACTTAAGAAGAAGAAATCTAAAAGTATACAAATCTTCTATCTGTTTTGTTACTGATAAGATGTAGCCCTATTGTAGGTTTCATGTAACTTGAGTTCAGAACTTAGTTAAGCCCTTTAAAGTGTTGTATGTTTATGTCTTGTGTAACTGTTCTGGTCAGGTAAATGCAGAACAGAATTATTATCTGTTTCCTATTAGATCATTTATATTTGTTTTAAATATTTGTTTCCTGTCTGAATATGATTTGATAAGTCTGACAATCAAAATTTCTTCCTAGCATTTTAATTAGAAGAGTACTATATCTTGATGTACTAAAAAGTACATCAAGAATTCTGTTTAAACATCTTCATGGGTTACTATGGGAAATAAGTCTATGCAATCACTATTTTTGGTACAGTTCTGAATTCTGTGGGAATTATTACTTTCTTAATACACCATCTCTACAGGGCCAGAATGGACAGAAGAAATACCAGATCAATCTTAAAAGTAGTTCAGGACCTATCCATGTACTGCTTATAAACAGAGAATCAAATTCCTCCAAGCCCATGGTGTTTCCAGTTCCTCCACCTGATGACCTTGCACAGACCCCATCTCAGCCTGCAGCTCCAGTGACTCCCCTTAAACCTACTCCAGCTACTGAAAATCCACCAGAATGTGGCCTTAACCAGGAACAACAATTGCCAGAAACAACAGTGGACACACGGTCAGGTGGGTCTGAATTATTTTTCCACCTAAGATGGGTGGAGAAGGGCTTAGGGGGAAGAAACAGAAATGGTGATAGATAGAAGAAAGGCGTATCAACAATTTGCATAACATGGCAGGTGTCTATTAAGAAACTATCCCAAGGGGCTTACTAATGGCTTTCAAGAGGTTATGGAAAAGCTTCTTCCTCTTCTGTGCTCTGATTGATTTCACCCAGATTGATGAAACAGATTTTCCCCTTATCGCTTGTTGTCTTACACCGAACAGGTTTTGCATGTGATCCTGGTTGTTAATCTGAGATGTTTTTCCAGAACGCAGGGAGGAATGAAATTGTCAGCCTTAGATGGGAGTATATCATTTGAACACATACCTTTTTGTGAAGGAGATAGTACAGGCTCCAGTTCCAGCTTTTATGTCACAAGGTCACTTACTTTTTTCCACATAGCCACAATGAGAGACTGCCTGAATATCTGTTTGTTTTTTTTTTTTAATTGTAATTGTAGGAAAATATGGAAATATTTAAGAAAATGTTGTCACTGTTACAGTCTACGTTTCTGAGGGATCCTGATAAAATTGAGTTTGCGAGTTTGGACTGGGGAAGAGATTCTTCTTACCTCAACACAGACATTAGCTGTGTTGTCCTCAAGAGAGAAAGCCAGGTGCAGGTCTTTTACATTCCTTTTTACAGTAATAGATTTTATAATGTGTTTTTGTGTCTTTGTAGAAAGCAATTTGCGGCAGAACAGTACAACTCCAGCAACTCCTTATTCTAGCCTTCCAGACTCAGTGTTGTACCCCAGCCTTTCGGGAGATGTCGCCCAAGCTACAGCGAGCTCCAACGACTATCAGGCTTTGCTCCCTTTGGACGTTAACTGTATCCTCAAGCCAAACTCATTTGACATAGGAAAGATGGAGGAGCCCACAGGTAGGAAGAAACAGTTGCTCAGTGTTTTTGTTGTTTCCTGAGCCGTTCTTTTTGCCAAGCTACCAATGAGTTACAAGGATTAAGGCTTGTCCCACAGAGGAAATGACAGGCCTTTGTTTATCTCCCACTGAAGCCACAGAGCCAGTTCTGGGTAGCAAACTTATTTTGAGCAAAATACCTTTCTTTGCTATCAAATAAGCTACTCATTGCACATGGCTTTAGGGTTATAAGAGATTGACTGTACAGCTTGAGGAGAGCATGAGAAATTTATCAGGAAAAACTGAGAGATAAAAACAGGAATATATTTTAGATATCTATACAGCACACTGTCTCCACAGCTCCTAGCATGTGCATGTGAGCTTTACTGTACTTTACAGTTCAGCATTGTAATGCATAGAATCTGTTGACTGCAATAAACACATGCTCCTGTTTTCACAGGAAATATTGGTGGGGATATTATTGACGAACTTATGTCCTCTGATGGTAAGTATTTAGCATCCTTACTTGCAGATATTAAAAAAGTAGCAGCATGGTTTTTATATGAACAGCACTCTTGGTAGGTGTCTTAAATCTCTTATCAAGAGCCAGTATGATACTACTTCTTTCCCCTGTACTGCCTCTTCTATCTTTGTCATTCTCATCTTTGCACCCCTATCTGTTCCCTGCAACGCTTTAATTTAACAGTCAAAATATGAAAGCCTTAATCCAGCAAGAACTTACATGCATGAGTAACTGAACAGTACTTAATTTGAGAATAAATAAAGAACAGGTTGATGACTCTAGTGCTGCCTTAAAAAATCTTGTTTAATTCTGTTCTGCCTCAGGCCTCTTCCATGAGCTCTGAGCAGATATTTCAGAGCATATTTACATGCCTGCGTACAGATTGATACTTGGCCAGGTCTCTTACACTGGCAGAACAAATACAACCCTTTTCTGGTCTTGCATCTCCTTGGCCATATGTACGCAGAACTGAGCCACCACTAGTGGTTCCATACACTCCATGACTCCCTGCTGTATCTCACTGAACCCAGCTGATTTAGTCCTTTTCCCATTTAACTGTGCTGTTCTGTGAACAGCTTGTGTTAATATCTGCCTTTTAAGCAGGCAGACTTGGGGCTTATCTAGAAAGAAACATGCAGCTACAAGATCTAAGAGGGAAGCTGGAGTTATATGCACGTGACAATAAAATATATGAATAAAACGGGAATACCCTCCAATTTTAGAACAGCTACAATGTGCCCAACTCATCTGCATTAGTCTTCCTGAGGTACAGCTTGAGGACTGAGGCTTCTCCTCCTGCATTACCCAAAAAGGGCTTCAAGTCCATGCATGAAATGCAGTGCAGAGAAGCTGACAGCTTCCGTTTTTCTTCTGTAAAATAGGGATAATATTAATTTCTTTATCCAGAATAAATATCTGAAGACTAATACATACGATATTGTAACAGGAAGGAGATAAATATAAGTGATGGCTTTTTGACAGAATTTTCAAAAGCTGCTTAGGAGTTCCTTCGCTGCAAAAGGAGAGAGTAGGTCCATACTTCACAGCTTTCACTCCACCCCCAGTAAATTTATGTAAGATACTAAGAACAAAGGTGTAGACATGTCACTTACTTACTGCCTCAGTTTGAAGGCAATACAGGTAGTCACAGTATGTGTGAGATTATCAAGGCAATATTTTACTTAAGACTAACCCTGGCACTGGTGATGATGAACATACTGGATTGTGAGATAGGACTGATATTCCAAGTGTTTTAACTTAAACTAAACTATTCCTGCTTTACAGTTTTTCCTCTCTTACGACTCTCTCCTACTCCCGGAGATGACTACAACTTTAACCTGGATGATAATGAAGGAGTCTGTGATCTCTTTGATGTGCAGATACTAAATTATTAGATATTGTGTCAACCAGACTACTTATCTACCTCTAACGATAACATTCTAGACTTCTTCATAACCTAAGTATTTGAATAATGAATGTATAACTTCTTAGTTCACTGACTCTGGGAGTATATTTCCTTTTGCTTCCTTTAACTACTTCACAAAACGAATTTAACCACCAGAAAAAAAGGGCTTTTATCAGAATCTTGGCACATTTTTCACCTGAGTGTCCTTTATGTAATCCAATGATTTTGGAGTTTTCTTTTCCAAGGAAAGCAAAAATGCTTTATAGGCTTCTGATCATTTCTTTTTCAAAAATGATTAGGCTTTTCTCACAGTTACCAGCATTTTTTTTGAAGCTTTACTGCCGAGAAGCTGTCAATATTTTTTAACGTTCCCATCAAATTTGAAACTTCCACTGCCAAGCTGAAAAGTGAAGGATATCAACTTGAGTTATGCTTAATTGTTTCAGTGAACCAATTTTGTGAAGTGCCTTCTGTTTTAGCACTTTAAGTTTCTCACACTGACTTCTGACATTCCACTTTCCTAGATGATAGGAAAGGTCTGTTTGTAGTTTGTATTAAAGTGTGCCAATACTTGTATATTAACAAGATTTTTTTAATAAAATTTTACAAACAAAGCCTGTGTGACCTTCAATTCTTGGAATCTCTTCATTATCCATTATGTATTACAGCTGTGATAATAGATCTGTGGCAGCGTCCACATTTGCTGGTTCCTCTTCTGAAGGTGTAGTAACCTTATAAAAGAAAAGTTTCAGTTTAAAGTACAGATCAATTTATTTTTATGATTGGGCAAGAAAAAAAAAGAAAAAAAAGCAGCCAAAGATTTATGCTCCAAGTGAAAGACAGAGTGTCACATCAGTAATGTGCATAGCCCAGTGGAAAGAGGCACACCTTTTAGTTCAGGGAATACTTAGGACAGCACAATTTTGAAACAGAGATGAAAAATACTATTGCTTTACACTCCAAGTGGTCAAATTGAATGTTATGTCATGTACAGCCCTACTAGCGCAGAAGTAGTGGGATAGTCCAAGATCCCAGTCATGTGCAATAGCAAACTAGCAGCAGTAGGGCTGCTGGCACCAACAGCCTTGCTTGGCCTCGTGCTGTGTCAGCAGCACTATCACGTGTGCTTCCTTTCTTCTTCAGCCTCACCCTGGGGTATTTGGCAGTTGTTCTGTTGCTCCCAGCCACACAGAAAATTGATGACCCCAGGCACAGTACTCAGTCTTGTCCAGTTCCCTCTACTTCCCCACCAATCAGGGTGGGTTCACCTGTACTCTGTATAATCCCGTTGCCCTTTTGTCCCCTATCTGTTCCCCCAGCATAATAGTTATAGGGCACTTGACAATGCCAGCCAGATTTCAGCATTACCCTGCAACTGAAGTTAATAAAGCTGGCTTTGTCATTTTAAAGCCACTACAAGAATTGCCTGCAGCCTTTGTGTCAGAATATAATGCTTTAAAAATGTACATCCCTTTCACTTCCCTCCTCAGATTTTCACAAAGAGAAATTACCTTCTGGTTCTTTGGAGGTTCTGCTGCAGTACCTTTTGATAGTTGCTGTACTTCTTTCTGAATTTCAGCAAAAGCTTTGTTTATCTTGCTCACTTTGTCAGCATTTGCAATGTTTATCTGCAGGAAGAAAAAAAAACAGCACACATTGATGTTCTAACTGAAATTGCACTGGCATCATTTTTGTACAGTTGTTAACTAGCTAATGTTATATGCATATCTTACAACATTGCAGTAGGAATGTTTTTATACTAGAATTCTGGTTGTCAATTATATTGCTGAGTCATGTACAAATGTTGTAATAAATGCAAAATTATAAAAGCAGTCAGACTTGCTGTGTTGGGAAAGGAGCTCACACCGACCCACCACGCTCTGGGCAGGATCTTGGCCATACAACAGCACTTCACATTGCACCTGTTCCAGAAGCATGCCACACATCCAAAACTGCAGGCTGTTCCAAAGGCTTTCATTCACATCTCAGCAATTTACATAGGCAGAAGCAAACTGTGAACTGTTACATATATTTATGCCTTTTGCCTTCAAAGCTGCTGTAATTTCAGAGTGTGGAGACATTAACAATAATTCCATTTGTTCCTGAGACAGTGGCCAGGAAGACCAGCAGTAAGAAAGCGGGGGCACGAGGCCAATAAAACAATCTATTTAGATTAGAGGTTAATTGATAATAAACTATAGGGTGACTCAGGAAATACAGGTTCAGCTCCAAGCTCAAATTAGAGCATATGGGGCTGTGGGCAATTCAATTTACACAGGCCTTCTGTTTTCCATGAGAGCCTGTTGGCAGCTCCCAGCTTCAGCAGTGCCGAAAATGTCAGTTTGTGTACCCAATAGCCTTTGCTCTCAGGCAGGGACTGCTTGCAGAACGAGGCTCTGCAGCTGGGATGCGTGTCTGCATCAAAAGCTGTTTGAATAGTTATTATGGAGCCTCACCTATTGAAGAACAAACCCATTTAAACATTTTTTTGAGCATTTTTACAATAATGCTCAAAGACATGCAAATCCCCAAAGGCTTAATGAATTAAAGAATACGGTTTCAAACACACAGAATAAAATTTTACTCCTAATAAGCTGCTGAGTTCTCACGAAGATGCTTTTAAGCCTGTTCCTCCTTTTATTATACACAGCCCTTTAGACTAAGTGCAGATTTCACGCTAGCAATGTGAAATTGTTTCGGGGCTCCTTGTTTATTTCCACAGTTTGTTGTGTTCCTGTCAGCCAGATTAACCCATCAGGTGGCTTTCTCTTGTAGAATGAGATCTCAGAGGGCCTTTTTTAGGAGCTGCCATTGCACTCTGCACAGCAGACCGAGCGGTGTGCAGTGGGGGGCAGTGCCTCAACACCGTTCTTGTAAAAAGCTTTCCTTACATCCAGTCTAAATCTCCTCTCTTTTAGCTGGAACCCATTTCCTCTCATCCTACCACCCCAGACCTCCAGCTCTCTCAGCCTGTCCTTGTAGGTGTTCCATCCGCGGATCATTTTTGCGGCCCTCCGGACAAGCTCCAGCAGGCCCACGCCTCTCCTGCACCGCGCTCTCCCCATGCGGACGCAGCGCTCCGGCCGCTCTCCCACGGCAGCGCAGCGGGGCAGATCACCTCGCCCTGCTGCCCGCGCGGCTTCCGATGCAGCCCAGGAGAACCGCGGCCACGACCTCAGCACGCGCCAACCCGCAGCCCCGAGGAAAACGCGGAGCGGCTCGGCCCCCGCCGGCTCCCGCTCACCTTCCTCAGCCCGGAGGTGACGGGCCGCGCCCGGCCCTTCCCGCGGGCCTTCCCGGCCGCAGCGCCGCGGGCGATAGCGAAGACGTTGGCCGCCTTCGCCGCCTTCCGCGCCCGGCTCTTCCCCATGGCCGCCGCCGCGAGCAGCCGGCGCGCGCCTGACGTCACGACTGAGCGCCGGGGGAAGCCCTGACGTCACCGGGCCGGGATTCCCCTCCGCGGGGCCGCCGTTCGCAGCTCGCGGGATGTTGGCGACGGGCGGCGCCGGCGCCGGGCAGGGAGCGGGGAGCGGCAGCGCACGGCGACAGCCCCTCGGCACGGAGTTCGAACGCGCAGAAGCGTTTCCGCGTGGGCTGCGCGGGGCCGCATCCCGCCGGGGCACGCCGGGGGCCGCGGGGCGATGGGGCACCGGGAGCCGCCCCGCCGGGCTGTGGGGGTTGGGGCGGCCCCGAGGGGCCGCGCCGCGGGGCAGGGCCGGGCCGGGCGGGCGCTTATCGCGGCGGGGCGTCGCCGCACGGCGCCTTCAAAGCGGGCGGAGGGGCCGGCGGGGCCGCTTCTCGCGTCTCGCGTCTCGTGTCTCGTGTCTCGTCCCATCGCGTCGCCTCGCGTCCCGACGCCGGAGCCATGCTGCACTGGGGATACGACGAGCACAACGGTACGGGCGAAGGGGCCGGGGAAGGAGGCTCTCGGAGCTGTCCGGAGCTGTCCAGGGAAGGGGCGGCGCGGCGCGGCGCGGCGGGGCGCGGAGCTGCGAATCCGGCCCTGCCCCCGTCCCCGCAGCGCGTCTCTGTGCGGGGTTCGCTGTGCGGCATCGCGGTGCGGGCGGTGCCGGCGCTGCCTTTGGTTCCGGCCGTGTCCCGTTCTGCTGCGCGATGCCGGGATCGGGGTCTGCCGTTTCACGCCCACGGGGAGATGCTTTGGGGTCTGGGCTGTTTCGTGCTTCCCTTCATCTCAGCGATCTTGGAATCACCGAGGTGCTCCCACAGAAGGCTTAATGCCGCTGCTCTGCTCTGATCCGTAACTCGTGTGGACGCTGCTCTTGTGCTGTGTGCTCCAGTGCGTGCAGGTGGGAATGGGAGAACTCCTGGAGCCGGCTGGAATCACACAAATAGGACAGCTTGTATTGTGTTAGTGCACAGGGCAATAAGGCACTGTGACAGCAAAAAGAGTAAATGTATATATATTGACATGAATTTATGGCATGGAGCTGCCGTGACCCCATGGGTGGGAGTTAGGGACAGGTTCTGCACCACAGAGCGGTGGGCATGGAACAGACTGGCCAGGGCAATGGGCACGGCCCAAGTGCCGGAGTTCAGGGAGCGTTTGGACAGATCTCAGGTATTTTTGGATGGTTCTGTGTGGAACCGGCAATTGTACTCAGTGATCCTTGTGGCTTCCTTCCAACTCGGGATGTTCTGTAAATCTGATTCTATCCACCAGTGCACACAGCAGTGGTACTGCTCAGAGCTTCCCTTCGTGGTGTATTTGTTCCCTATCCTCTGGAATGGATGCGCCGTTCCCAAAGAACTGGGTGGCAGTGAACGGCTACAGTGCCACAGTGATTGGGTGCTGTCTGCTGCTGTGTGCTCTCCCCATCCCCATGAGAAGCTGATGGCTCTTGTTTTTTTCCGTGTGTTTCTCCCTGTGTTTTCCAAGGGTGCTGCAAACTTCACTTGCAGGGCACAGATAAGCAGCCCCTCTCCCTCTCTTATCCTGGCCCTCCTTCTGGCTTCTAGGAAGGGGAGGGCACCAGAATTTCTATCGGAGTGGCCCTGGACTCTCCTGAGGCCCCTTTCTCCCCCAAGCTCTGTTTACTGGCTGATAACATGTTTGGGTGGAGTTTGGCTCCCCACTCTTTTTCAGCTCCTGGCCACTGTGAGGTGGGCTGCATGCCAGTACCCCACCGCCTACCCCCTCATACCCACAAGAGAGTAAAG